GCTCAAAGAGTGTCGTATCAGTTTTCAAAGTGATGCGTTAATTATTTTTTCAGTTATTATAATAAATAAAAATATTATAATAAATCGTAGAAACTTTATTTTATTTGCTATAATTAATTATTAATAATATTTAAAAAAATAATATGTATTATCCAGGGTAAAGTTTATAAACTAAACGTGGTATTTTATAGGATCACTAAAATCTCAAAAATAAACTTATACCACTTAGCTTTGTAACAATCAAGTGACCTATTTTTAATCATAAAATGTTTGCCCCTCCTACGTGAAAAATAATCTGTTATCACGTACTGCCATTAAATATTGAAAAGGTGTTTTTATTATTTTTAATATAATTTTTTATTTTATTTTATTATATTATTATTAATATGAATCATAAAAGCAAACTTCCCTTCATATAACAAAAACATGTTATTGTCACCCATTTATTTTATTTATATATCTTTTAATAAAATCAGATAAATTGTTTGTTTTTATATTCTAAATACATAAAAACATACATAATAAAGTCATTTTAAAATAAATACTAATGAATTATTATAAAATTTATTGTTATAGAATAGTTTATAATTGAAAGTAATAAAATTCGAGTTTTAATAATTTTAAAGCCATATCAATACCGTACAAATATATTATTTTCAAAGATACAGCAAGCAATTTTAAATCAACTTATCTTTTTAGCAAGTAAGAATTTTTACAAGGTTGAATTTAAATTTATTTTATTAACGTACATAACTTACACAAAACATTTTTAGAATTTTTTCAAAAAAAAAAAAAAAAATGAAATATAGATTCATTCAGATATTGTGCATTCTTGTAAGTAATAATATTTTGAAGTATTTAAAAATTATATTATTTAATTTAAGGAATATCTGGTATTAAAATAAGTAATTTTTACCTTCGTAAAAACTGTAGTCTAGTAGTGTTTATTATTGCCAAGTCGGGAGTCTTGTAATCGATATTGTAATAATAATAATGAAAGTAATTTGTTGCTATATATATTTTTTGTTCTGTTACTATAAAACATTAACATCTAAGTATTAATAACGAAATAGTGTGTTCGAATTACATAACCTCTATTGCCTCCATTTCCACCGTATTCCGTCTTAACTACACGCACCATGGTAACCCAGCTCTAACTCGAATGTTGTTCCAAGAACAAAATTAATAATTTAATATTTATTTAATAAATATTAAATTATTAACGGACCCTTCAAAGGTCCGCAACATAACTACCTCCTACGCCTAATCCTACCGATTTACATATCATTAACCATATATACTATATTCTATCTTATTTAAAGAATAACACGTTTAATTTGAAAATGCTATTATTATCATTAATCTAAAAAAAAATCCAGCACAGTGGTGACGTAGTATAGTTGGATAAAGTATAATGATATCTAAAACGCTTCGATGAAAATCTGTAGATAATGTTTAATTTAAAAAAAAAATCTGTCAAAAAAGTAGGTCAAGTGAGAGCTGAGAAAATAAATGATAGCTACAAAAAAAAACCACATAGTAAAATAATATTAATATGAATTTCTTCTCACGAGAGGAGACTACAGTAATGGGATCCTTGATATTTATTGAAGTTATTGAATCTAAATGAGATAAAAATTAAATGAGTTAAACATTTTTTTCTGACTCAAAAAGAATTAAGAAAAAATTCAGTGCCACAATCGTGAAAGATCCAAGTGTTACCGTCTCAACAACCATACGTCGCATTCGTCACTTAATAAAAATGGAAATTTAGCTAGTTCAAATTTTAAAGTTATTTTTCTTGACTTCAAAGAAACAAAAAAATTTAAATATGTTTAACTTTTTATACTATTTCCATTAGATTGATATAATATATATGAAAATCAGTGTAATTCTCTTGTAATAAAATAAAATACAAAACCAAGAATTTTAACACAAAAATAACATATTTTTGAATACGGTAGCTATTTACACCATGAAGACAAAAAAAAGTCCAAATAATTTTAATATTGAAGTATATTACATAAGATTTAATTTAAGATATATATAAAAGTGTCAGTATTTCCGGAACACTTTCAAAAGTTAAGTTGAAAAAGTTAATTTTTTGTGAAAAATATGTCATTTTGAATCCCCTCCTGTAGGTAGGTAAAGAGTCAGATTTATAAAAAAAATATACCAAATGAAAGGTAATGATATCATGCATCTATATAAAAAAATTGAAAAAATTTCGAAAATTAGCGATTTTTAAACTTGTAACTTTTTTGGAGGTTTTCCCCATTAACGGAGAACGAGGGAAATTTTTTCAATTTTTGAAGGTAATGTCTTCGACTAGATACGATTTGTGATCTTTTGACGTATCATTGAAAGAAATCGGTTCGGTGAGAGCTGAGAAAAAGTGGTAATAGACACAAAAAAAAAACACATCTTAGTAAAACCAATACCTTCTCAGCTTCGCATCGAAGCTAAATTATGTATAATTTTTAAATTATTATTACAATTTTATGTAACCGTGTTATGTAACCAAAGACGGTGTATATACGTGCATTACCCGTGTTCCCACTAGTCGTCTATTTGCCGAGTATTCGTTATTTGTCTACATTTGTCTAGCAGTGTAGACGGTGTACGAGTTTAGGTATTCGTTCATTGTAATTCGTTATTTGTTATTTTCGGTCGTCTGTATTTGTGACACGTTTCAAAGAGATAGCAAATATTTGTCCAAATACGCAATAAGTGGGAATTCGGCCATGTTTTTTTATTTGAACTAATATTCGTTCAGAATCAATACTTAATTTATTTAAATAAATTATTTATTTTAACTAGTTAATTAAATAAATAAATGTTGAATTATATTACATTATCATAGTGACGCTGGTCAAACAATTATCCTTAAAATAATAAGTTTTTTTTAATATAAAGTAATGCTTACAATTCGCATACGACTATTAAGTGCACACAATCACTCGGTTTAAATGATACAACGCTCATTCCCCAAGAAATAATATAAACATAATATATCTCATATGCTACATAATCTATATATCTCTTTATATTTATCATGTATCTCTATATACATGCTGCAAAATAATATAGACTGATAAAATATATAGTTTGTTCTCTAAAATCTAACGCATTATTTATTACCTTATGTCTAACACATTACTATTACATATTGTTTATTATTTCCTGTTTGTTTTATATAATTAATAAAAGTTTTTTTCTGCGAAATTTCATTGGTATATTTAAATATTTGAAAGGTATATATATATATCTTATTTCTATTGGTATACATGTCATTTTGTGTAATTGATTAATTGGAGTCTTTAATAATACATTATGACATTAATAATATACTGTTGTGAACATCGTGACATTTAAGTATAATATATTTTGTATTTTTTCAATTAAATATTATTATATTTGTTTGATATAAGTATATTAACAAAAATGTGTGTTTTAATAAACAAATAGTTGTAATAATAAACTAAAAATGATTTATTTGTAAATGTATAATCAGTAAACTTTTAAATATATGAAGTAATATGCGATGCCTTTAAATTTATTAATGTTAAAAATCAAGAATCCTATTGAATTATTAAATTCATACCATAAAATATAATTTAAGTAATCAAAAATTATTATAAGGTGCTTTTATTATTATTTAAAATTATTTACACAATCATTTACAGAATAAAAATAATTTAAACCTTTTAGCTTCTATGCGAAGCTGATAAGGTATTGGTTTTACTATGATGTGTTTTTTTTTTTTGTCTGTTACCACTTTTTCTCAGCTCTCACCGAACCGATTTCTTTCAATGATACGTCAAAAAATCACAAATCATATCTAGTCGAAGACATTACACTCAAAAATTAAACAAATTTCCCTCGTTCCCCGTAAATGGGGGAAATCTCCAAAAAAAGTTACAAGTTTAAAAATCGCTAATTTTCGAAATTTTTTTTTCTTAAAACTGTCATAACTTTTTCAAAAATGAACAAATTAATATCATTTTTTTTTTTATAGATGCTTGATGTCTTTACCTATCATTTTGTATATATTTTTTATAAATCTGACTTTTTACCTGCCCACAGAAGAGGATTTAAAATGACAACTTTTTCACAAAAAATTAATTGTTTCAACTTAACTATTGAAAGTGTTCCGGAAAGTCTGACACTTTTATATATATTTTAAATTAAAGCTAATGTAATGTACTATATTATGAAAAAAAAAAATTTCGGACTTTATTTTGTCTTCACGGTGAAAATAACTACCAATGGCTATTTTTGTGTGAAAATTCTCGATTTTATTTTTTACATTTTTAACTTTATAATGCTATAAATTATTGAAAAGTGTATGGATCAACACAGATTTTTTATGAAAAGTAATATTTTTAATAATCCTTTTTCATTCGACATATTTTATCATAATCGGGATATTAATAAGAAAATAGCAAACTATGTAGCTTTTGGAATAATCCACCAATTTTTTAAATTTAAACACTATCTAAAGATTTGCATCGAAGCGTTTTTTTTTATAGTGATTTTAATCACTGTGAGATATCATTATACTTGATCCAACTATGCCACGTCACTAATTTGCCGCGACTCCTCTGTGCTGGGTTTTTTTTTTTTTGGATACACTCAGTTACAAATTATTCTTTAATTATTAGGTATGTTATACTTCTTATGTTTATCTATTATGCCTTGTAAGGGTGTCATCTTTTTTTTTTTGATGGGTACACATCTTTTGCATTCAATAAAGTATTAGAGTTTTAATTTTAATAGTAAATAGAATTAGAATTTTTAACATAATTTTTTTTGTTTATTAGATATAAAAACTTTTGTATTATATTCGCCTTAATAATAGAGTATGTTATGTATTATATTTATAAATAGACTAATAGGAGCTATAATAGTAACTTGTGATGTATACGTACAATTAACCAACAGAACTTAGTGTATGGGCAGTTTATATCCACCTCTTTAACATCTAAAACTAACCAAAGTTATAATGCAACGATCCCGAGAGACTATAAATAATAAAATATTGATATCACCAATATTGCATAACAGTCGATATTTGATATTGGATTGCATATCAGCCCTTCTTAATAATTATATTGTTGTCGTTGAAAATTTTTTATAATACTGACTAGGTAATGCAAGACATAAGCAAACATTGGGTAAAACCTTTATAGTATTAAAAATATGATTGAATTATTCCTATTTAAAATAAATTAATTATTAAACTTATACTACGTATGAAATTTATTAGATATTCAGAATACAAAAGTAATAAATTTTAATTTAAAATTATTTTTAATTTAGAGTTATAGAGTTATTGTAACATTACAAGATTATAACCATTTATTAAGTAGTGATGAAATTATAAATAACTTAGAGAGATATGAAAGTGGAGTTGATATCTTTCAAAAGTGTGTTATCAAAATTGGAATAAATTCGAATGTTATTGACACAACAAGTAAGTTTCAAAAATATATGACACTTTATGGCAAACATATAACTCAAAAAATGTTTAGTTTACCCATTAAAGGATAATGTATACCTTAAATATAAATTATTAACATCTTCGATGATTGCAATACATTAATATAAACATTAATAATCTTATTTAGAATTTTTCTGTGAATAATTTTAATTCAAAAATTTTAATGTTAGTTTTCCTAGGTCAAAATTTTTTTATAGATTATTATTTTGAAAAGTATTATAAGCAGGATCGTATAAATAGATATATTAATAATAACACAGTTAACAGTTTTTATCTTTCGAGATCAATTTTCGATTAAATAAAATTACATTTTTTTCAGATCAAAAATTTACCTCGCAATTCTATTTATTCTTAAAAAAAGAAACTTTAAAATTCATTCGAGGAGAAGGAAATATTACATTCTCAAAAAATGTTCTAAACGAAATTGGTGGGGAAAATTCAAAATGTAAGGAAAAATCATTAAATGAATGCTTTAAAAATTTCTTTAGTAAAGTATTTAACACGGACGAAGTTCTTTCGGAGAACACAGATGTAAGTAAATATCTTAATCATTCATTTTTTGTCTGAAATATCTTGTTCTTAGATATCGACGCATTTAAAAATTTGATCAAATTTAATACTTGTAATTTAATAAATTTACATTTGTTTTTAACTACTCACACGTAACTTTCAAGTTAATTCATTATCTATTAACTATAATAAGTAGACAATGAATTTGCTTAGAATATTATAAGCACAACTATCTAAAATTTTCGTGGAGTTTAGTCACCCTAGACTCTTAGTTGCGCGGGTCTCCTGCCGAACCAGGTGAAACCGAAGGAGTTGCGGAGCAGACTGCTAGTCAGTGTCGTGAACTCTGTCCTCCTGTACAAGTTCCGAGTTAGGGCGGATACTCTCAAGTGTTCGTCTCTCTGAGGAAACGGGAGACGGTAGACCAGGTAACCGATCGGTTAGACGGGTGGTTGTATGGGTCATCGGTGGATGACTTATCGTCTCACGCAAGTGATGTCCGGCTCTTATAACGAGTGCCTTTTTTTTAAATTTTAAATAATATTATATAAATAATAAATTTTATTAAAATAACATTATAGTCAATATTACTGATTTTAAACGAAAACATTAATTTTTCTCTTTATAAATGTTCTTTGTTTTATTTAATTAACTTGTTTTTTAAATTGTATATACTATGGTTTGGGTAAATATTTTTGTCGGTGTATTCAATACATTTTTAAAATTACATTTCATTTTATAATCCTAAGATAATTTTCTTTTATCCATTCAACAATAGTCATACAATTATTTTCCACGTTAGCAACTAGTTTTAAATAAATGTTTAAATATTAAATATTTTTGTATTTATTTCAGTTTTTAAATAAAATAAGAAAAATCTGCTGTCTTAAAGGCTCAAAATTGAACTGAACAAGAATTTGAAGATGTAAAATAATAAATCATAAGATTTATTTAATATCGATTATGTATTAAATTATCATATTTGTAATAATATTGATCAGTGTAAAGATTGTTAAATTCATTGTTATGTATTTTGTATATTTTATTTAATGGTTATAATCATACAATTAAAAAGCGATTTAAAATGGAAAAATCTTTAAAAAAATTGTTGAAAAATATTTTATGCGGAAAATATTCATAACTCATGCTTTCATATTAAATACCCAAAGTATATATTTTGAAATATTAATACAGGTTCGATGTTGTCCTCAAGTAAAGTAAGTGTGGGTAATAAGTTTTAGCTTGTACTAGGACCTTACAAAAATTAAACTGATTCGCATCAAAGCATTTTTAAGTTAATCATTGTCAGATATCATCTATACTTGTCCCAACTATGCCATGACTTCAATGTGCTGAGTTTTTTTTTTATGTTATGTGAATTTTAATTATAATAACCGTATCGATAGTGCGCTAAATGATTTTTAACTATACTATTTAAGGCACGGACCAAGGGAGGACGATTGCCTAACACCCTTCCACCATATAACCACCACTGCTAATTGCACAAGTTAATTTAAGTTATTACGTGCTGAAATTAGAAATAGTAAATATATTTTAAAAGAGAGATAAAAATTCAGTTATCATATTTTAAAAAATTTAACTTTAAATAAACAGTTGGTAATAAATAAGCTATGAATATTATATAAACTATCTCGTATTTCCTTTTTAAATACTTTTCCCATATTTAATAACCAAGTATAAATTATATCGGAGTTTGCGTACCATTTAAGGTTATATCGTTCATATGGTTTATACTATAATTCATGTAATTATAATTATAATTCATACTGTCGATACTGAACGTCATCATTTCTCGAATAATAAATTTTTCTTGATAATGGATCTTAAAGAATATTGAATTAGTATTCTTTAGTAAAACTCATCGTTGTTCAAATGCAAACTGTAAAAGAGAATTGACATGCATAATCATCTCATGATATCCTCCTATATGTATAATATAAATTTCGAATTAATAAAATTAATTTTTAAGAAGTTATTCAATAATAACAATTAATAGTTTATATATAATGGGACGGCGTGGCCGAATCGGTAACGCGGCAGTGCTTGACGCGCACTACCCCAAGTTCGAAACTCGGTCACGGGTGGCTCATTTACCGAACGAGAGATCAGTTCGGTAATTTGAGTCGCCCATTCCACTGTCCGGCGATGGACTAACCACCCGTCCCGTAGAATAAATGATTAAGAAACTCCATCCTTTGGGGGAGGACGCTATGGCCCTAAATGGGTTAATAAAAGCGTACAAAAAAAACCCAGTACGGTGGGATCGCGGCACACTGGAGACTCTAAGAGTGATTAAAATCACTATCATAAAAAACGTTTCGATGCAACTCTGTAGTAATATTAAAAAATTGGCGGATTATTCCAAAACCTATTTGATCTTCTATTTCCCTATAGTTCAATAGTTGATATTAATCCGTAATTTTCCAATACATATGCCAGTTAATCATACAAAGTTAATTAAATTTTAAGGAACAAAGGGCTTAAAATTATTATAAAAATTATAGTCAAATAGGAAAATAAAAGACTGGTAGAAAAAGTTTTTATTTTGCTAAATATTTTTAAAGATTTCGAATGAGGAGGCGTGGTTAAGGAATCACTGTATATTATAAGTTTGATCAATTTTTAAAAATTTCCTGATTTTACCAAACATGTGATAACCAGGATAAATATAAAATATATTGATTTAATATGTTTTGATTTATTATATTATAAAATTGAATATTTAAGTTATAAGCAAGTTAAATAAACCTTTAAAATATATATATTTTTTTTGAAACCCAGAAAAAGGATAGAACTAAAGAATTAATAATAAATAATAATGTAATGCTAACAATATTTTCTTTTAATATTAACAAATTCTACAAATTTAACACTGAATAAATAATAAAAGATCTTACAAGTAACAAATAAGATGGTTTTGTACACCAAAGTAGGAAATAAAGTAAAAATGATTTTATATAATCGCTTTTTGGTGACAAAATGTTGATTGTTATGTCACTACATCTAAAAAAAGCTATGAACATTTATATGCATATATATATATATATATATATATATACTTTTTTAAATTTCTTTATAGGAAGAAAATGTTTTTATTTCATTATAACAATTTAACAACAAGCAGTGACATTATATATGTATAATACATAATAATAAACAAAATTCATACCATCATAAATAGATGTATAATATATAAATCATGATTTATAACTTAACTTATGCTTATTGCTAAAATAAATTTTTAACTGGGCAATTTTCATTTTGATACTTAAGCACCCTTAATATTCTAACAATAAATAGAACAATACCACTAAGATCCACTTAGAAATAGAATAGTAAGAATTATATTGCTGGTACAGAGATTTTTAATGGTTGAATGAGTTGAAAGAGTGAAATTATTTGAAATAAATTAGCGCGTGATATTTTATTAATACTTAACTACAAGTAACTAAAATTTACAAATACATTATTTTATCAAAACAATGTCAATTTATCCTTTATTTTATAACTATTTTAAAATAAATCTATGACCAGAATTAAAGAGTATTAGTTAAATAATAGAATATATAAATTCAATATTAATAACTGAAGGAATAGTTATTGAGCATAAAATACAATATTTTTACTTTGATAAAAGCACAAAGAACTAACGTTGAGAATAAATTGTCAACATAAATTAAATTTGAACATAAACTACTAGATAAGATTAGTAAACAAAAAAAGGACGAAAAGTAAATAATTAAAAATTAAATTTAAATTTATAATAGTGAATTAAAAATGTGATAAATTAAATAAAGCCATGGAACAAAAAATGCTATTTGCACAATTTAAATTGCATAATTATTTTACATTACATAGCTAAATAATTACTGTACTTTAACATATATTAAGTTACAGTAATATGTTTATATGTTTCAGTTAAAACATGTAAACATCTTTTATGGATCATAAAAAATAAGCAGTAAGAATATTGGACACTACTTTAAAATAACTAAATAAACAAACTGTTGTTTTCTTTTTTTGTCTGTGAAACTTTCTTTATAACTTTGAAATAAAAATTTCCTAAGAATGTAAATAAAAATTGGTCTGACAAAACCTATTACATCTGCATCTAAAGCTGTAGTTCTTACATTTGACCATTCATTTAAAATTTGGTTAGAACTTATTTTCTATGTCGCACATCACCACCACCACTGTGGTCTGTAGTATTATTTCTGAAATACATAATTTCTTTATAATATTTGTTGACATCTTCATATAATTTATTAAACATATTTTAACAATTAAAGATAAATATCATATTTTTAAGTAATATTATATCTTGATTTATAACAAAATAAAAATGTGTAAAATGAATGTTTTAGTTTAAACAAAATTTTAATTGTTTTTCGAATAAAATATAGTCAGTTTCTAACAAGAAATTTTTAAAAATGTAAACATTAATTGAAAATAATACACTAAGTTTTTATTAAATTTTTTAATTAAACAGTAAATTCAATCATTTACATAAATTTGAAATGCCTCATATAAACTTAAGATTTAAAGTATTCAATATACAGTAACATAATAATAATAATCATAGATATTGTCAAAAATGATAGCCTGCTTATAATAAAAATTTATCTAATAAATAAAAAATAAAAATTACCAAAATATTTTTACTATACAATCAAAAGTATAGAAGTATTTGACAAATTCCTACATTAAAAAGGATCTTTAATATATTAATGAACATCCAACACAGAACACATTTTACAATATCTACTATAATTTAGTACACAAATTAATCTTACTTACATCTCTGGTCCTTGATCTGTATCACTTTCTTCAAATTCAGACTTATTGCGTTTTTTTTCATAAATAAATATTACTAAACATAATATGATAACCTCAGCGCATATTCCCAAGAAAGGCCATAATGCAGCAAATTTACCTAAAAATTTTAAATAGTTAAATCACTGTGAACATAAGTAAAAACTGATTTATTTTACAATTATAATGTAATTATATTTTTACTATTTTTCACAGTATTTAATAAAACATATATTGTCATTTATATACAAAGGATCCATGATGATGTTTTGACAAATCTAATAACTTTTGATCTACCAAATATTTTGAGTTACTTTTTTTTTTAATTTTTACTATCTTTTAGTATTGTGAAAATATAATTGGAAATATATTTTGAAAAAACTAACTATTGCAATTATAGGTATGTAATTTTTATAATGAAAATTATTATCATACAATTACAGACGTTAATTCAAGCAATGTTTACTTTTATTTAACCTATATTTAAGGTGAAAATAAAATTTACTACTATAATTTTCTTATCTAGATGGATTTTGATATTATAACATAAATAAGAATTTATGATCATTTAATTTTTTTTCAAATATAAAATTCTATAGAAATTTAACTACAAAACATTAATAGAGGTGATTTAGCTACCAAATTTTTTCTTAAATTTAACTTGAATTTTTTTAATAATGCTAAATTAATAACTGATTTTTTTTTTTTTTTTTGAACATTTTTCGAAATTTTAAATCATACTGTTTAATCACAATAGTTCAAAAAAAAGTAAAATATTTTGTAGATCAATGGTTATTACATTTGTCAAACACATTGTGAACCACCTGTATACATTATCATTGTTTCATTATGAACACTCGATTACACACATATAAATACAATTCTGAAAAAAATGTTTAATTTTTTTTAATCATATATATATCTTGATTTATCCAGTTATTAATTACTTTTTAGAATCATCCCTTATAACGTAATAGGGTATCAAATGAATTTTTTTAAATTGAAACATACATATTTAACTAGCTAATAAAATATAAAATGACCTTATTAATAAAATGACTAGTCGATAACAACTTATATAAAATTTAACTTAAACAAACAAATGGTAATGAATAAGCTATAAATTCTATATTAATTGTCTTGTATTTCCTTTGTTTTCTTATTTATTTAATCATAAATTATATCAAAATTTGGCATTCAATATAATTTTTTTTACGCTTGCCACTTGTTTCTCTTAAAATAATAAGTTTTTTGTGAATTTTTTTTTTTGTTAGTTTTATATGTATTTCCATTTATCAATTATTAACAATTTTATGTTCATCATTTTCACCTTATAAGGATGTAGACTCTATTTTTTAAATGGCATTATACATATTTTACTAGCTTATAAAATAGAAAATGATCTAATTTAGAATATAACTGATTGATAAAAAATTTTGGATAAGTACTATGTTATTGCCATTCTTATACCTTATTCCTCTAACCTCAGCTGCAGAAGGAATATGGCCAAGAAATGTCTAATGATAAAAACGGCAGCAACTACATTTTATATCCTGTCTATACTTTAAAATGCTAAAAACTTCTGAATAACTGATTTAAAAGTTGTTATAGACTGCATTTTTTAATAAGACATCATTTTCTATTTTATAAACTAGTTAAATATTTATTTTGAAATTTAAAATAATAAAGTTGACACCTTATAAGTTATAAGGGAAATTCTAAAAAGTAATTAATAGAGGATAAATCAAGAAATATATGATTAAAAAAACCAAACTTTTTTTTCAATATTGTATTTATTTAGTAAGCAAAAGAGTGGTTCATGATTAACCGATCACTTTGTATATATATATTTTTTTTATATAGGTTTTTTATACTCATTTATAATAAAATTAATGAAATGTACACATAAATATATATATCACCTCTAACACGGACTAAGCATCCTTTAGAACTTATGGGTATAGCCACGAGTGAACTTTTTCCACCACAGTAATAGTATCCCTTATCATTTTCGGAAACACCATTAAGTATCAAAATAGCATTACTTATGTTTCTATCATTTGGTGCAAAAGTATAGTGTTGAGATGGTACAATTGTATTATTTCCTAAAAATCAATAAATTTTTACTTCGAAAATTAACTTTTATAAATAATAATATATACCAAATCTCCAATTTATATCAGGAAGTGGTACACCATGTACTTCACACTCCAGTTCAGCTCTTTCTTCTTCAATGAAAGTAATAGTATCTATTAATTGATAGAATGGATTTACTGTAAAACAAAATTGTATTAAAAAAACAATAAAAAAGAATACATATTTTAAATTAATTTTGTGACAATAATATAGTCAAAGTTATAAAACGTAATATTTTTTATAACTATTGCTATGTACTATTTTAATTTTAAATCAAACATTGTTACATATATAATATTTTTTTTAGATTCACATGTTCACTCATTAAAATTAAAACAGAAATATACTTACAGACAACATGAATAACCTTTGATCCTATAGATGGACCATTGTTAGAATTAAAAAGTTGACAAGTGTATTGACCAGTATGTTTTTCTACAAATTTTCTAAATATAACATTATTACCATCAACTGTCAGTGAACTGTCTGAATCAGACATCTCAGTTGTAATTGGCTTGTCATCTTTTAACCTGAAATTATAATAAAAAAGAAAAATCTTAAGCTATATTATGCTTTTAATGAACTATAGAATTTGTTTTGTTACACTGAATTTAATTATACAATAAAAATTATTTTGGATTCTTTTACTTCAATAATTTATTTTTATTCGCTGTTTATTTTTGATATAAAAAAAAAATAGTTCAGAAAATTAGGACATACAAGTTTATAGTTAATCATCAAAAAATAACTCAGGTTATTCAAGTATTATATGTTTTTCTTTTAATTTTTAAACAGATATTATTTTAGCTCTTAAACAAAAATTAGTGTAATTATATGTATATATAATAATTGTTTACAAATTATTTTTTTTAAATTTCTGCAATTTGCTAAAGTTACTTAGGAGTACAATAATATATATTTAGAGTGGAAACATGTTATTTCATCAACTCCCTATTATTTGTATTATTATTACCATAGGCAAACTAAGAGGAGCTATCTCCAACCCCTCTAACCTAGCCTGAATAAAAAGCTTATAAGAAATTTAAAAATATATATGTGTTAAGTTTAATCAATTTTTAAAAATACCAGAAAAAATCACAGAATTTCCATGATTTTCCTTATTCTAAAATTTTTTTAGATTTCCCAGACAATTAGGAGCACTATGAATTTAAATTTTTCAGCTATATGATACTAATTATAAGAGTAGAAATATTTAACAACAGTTAATCCAAAAATTAATTTTTTGTTGAACTTACCATTTCCAAAAATGTTTTGGATCTTGAGTTCCTTCAACCGTACAATTAATTGTAAGAGGTTGTTTATAGTTGGCAGCTATATGTCTATCACTAAAATCATAACTTGCTTTTATGATAACATCAGCTTCTAAAAAAAATTAAAACATCAATATTTTTTAAGTTAAGATTAATAGCAATTATAAAGGTTTTTTAAGTGAGTAATATTAAACATTTACATATTAGTTTATGAGAGCAACATAATTAACATACTATGATGTATAATAAAAACAAACAAAAAATTCAATTTATGTATGTAAAATCAGTTATCACATAATATACTTATATTACAAATTCTATCAAATAAATAACATACACATTGTAACAGGTTAAAAAATACTTAACAGTAATATAAGTCTACTTTAGATGAAATGACATGTACTGGAAAGTGCGTCTAATGGCTATAGTTAATGTATATAGATGTAGATATACATGTACGCGAGTCAAAAATTAAGCTAGGCCATCCAGCCAAAACACATGGACATATTTTAAAAACACATCATAGACTCTCACATACCGGTGCTAACCACTTCCAATACATGAAATTTGTTGTACTCTGTTGTGCATCTATATGAGCCTGAATCTTTAAGGATAGCAGAATTGACAGTAACTGTAGATATACGCATATTGTCATCGGTCTCATTAACATTGATTTTATAATGATTGTTGAACTCAAGAGTTTCATTGTCCTTTTTCCATTTAATGGCTGAGAATGTTGACACTCGACAAGTTATTGTAAAAGGACTGCCTTCTCTTATAGTATTACTACCTTCATAACTTGGTTCATCAGCTGGATTATTCAAAATTAAAAAAAGAAAATTATTTTTTAACACCTATTGTGAAATATAGAAAGAAAACCTGATAACCAGAATTTTTTTTTCTATGATTTATTTATTTTTGGCAACTGAAGCACAAATTATGAAGGATCATTAATAAATAACTTGTATTTTTATTGTATTTGTTAAATATTATTTAACTCTTTTTTCATTACTTTCTACCAACACAGTTAAAAAATATTATATCCCCTAAAAAAATCATTGATATTTTTCAAAACATTTTTTAGGAAAACAATCTAACTATACTAACAAATTTAATGTGTAGTAAATTTAAGAACAATTTAATAATGACTATATAATTAAAGTTTTTTTATAAAATTTAAATATGTTAGGAAATTATGAATGCGTTGAAGCTTTTGTAGAATGTCATATTGCATGAAATGTTTCATTCGCTCTGAAGATGGACTCTGCAACAAGTCCGAAACGTAAGCTCATAACTGAAAACGTGGATACATCCGTAAACATTTCAAGCAATGTTAGAAATTTTTAAAAATTGTAGCTTAAGATGCAATACTTCATATTTCATTTTTCGCCACTCATCAGGAATCAAATATGTATTACTGGTACATTTTAGTTAGTAGCTATTATCATTTTAAAATTTTTTAAAAATACTATTTTACCTAGTTGTTCTTACAAAAATCAATTGTTTCTACTCACAAAATTTAAAACAATATAATGATTAGATATATAAGTGAAATATGAGGTGTAGTATCTTAAGCAACAAAATATTTCTTTGTCATGATTTATTTAAAAATTAATATGGACAAAAATATTTAATAGATAATATTAAAAAAACTCAAAATAAGATACAAGGTTCTGTATTATAAAATAGTCAAATCTAAAACATAACATTAAAAAAAAGTATAAAACACATAGAAATTTATGATTATTCCAGTTTTTCATAATTTAAAAATCTGGTAAATAAGCCATAGAATGTAATAAAATAAATGACCAACACCAAGTTTTTATAAGGTACATAAAACCAAAACAGGTCAATTTCCAACATGTCAAAGATACTATTTATTCTAAACTTAAACTATTAATTGCATTCAAAATATTTAATTTAAACTTTACAGACTAACATTTTTAATTGATAAATTTTATATACACATAGTTCCAGATACATAATCTTATTACAAATTTAACTAACATGATCATTAATATTATTTTAAAACTTTTAGAGAAAATGATAAATTCAAATTACAGTAAAATATTCTGAGTAAACATTATTAACAAATTTTATTTTTTTAATTAGAAATATTTCTGACTCCTTTTTAAGAAAATGTTTAGCTTTTTACACAAATAATAATTAGAATTCTATAATATTGGTAAAATATTAAGTATACAACAAAATTCACTACAACAATCATAAATTAAATACAATAATTATTAGATTTATTCATATTGATTTTTATTATTTTAACCTTTTAGTAGTCACTAAACATTTTTACAACTTAGTCTTTTAGGATATTCTAATACCAAATATATAAAATTTAAAAATTCTAAGTTTCCTGTCGTAATATACTCAGCACTACTATAACATGGAATATTTATACAATGTATTCTTAGAAGAACATAATTCTTTTCAAATAAAATAATTAAATAAACATTTAAATTGAGAAATAGTCAACAAACGCAAACTGTTTAGTTATATTTTAATACACGCGATTCAATCATAAAGCAAATAAAAGTCACTTTTAAAATCCTTACTTCCGAAAAGAAATCTATAAATTATTTATGTCATCTTTCTTTATTCAAATTTTAATAATTAAATGCATTGTATCAACTGTAATCTTAAGTGAAAAAAAAACTATGTTGATGTTATATAAAATGTCAAAATGATTTATGAATAGTATATTCATATGTAATGATTTCTATATTTTATGCTTACTTATTAATAAAAAGTAATATTGTAATAATGAGACAATGATGTTTTTTGGGTGTACAAAGTATTATAAAAAGGCAGAGCAAACCCTTACTCTGGTGTGTTCTTATCTTGCGTACTAGACAATGTTACGTTATCATTGTCGATGTTTCTACAAATTAAAGTTTTGAACTAAATCAAATTATGTTATTTTATTTATCAATAATTGATTAATACTTAAGATATTATAAGAACCAATAAAAAATAATCAGGTATGAATTTTTTTTTTTAATTTATTTTAAAGTCTTCCTGACAATTGACATCTAAACTTAAATTTAACAATGAATTTTTAAATCAATAAGGGTCTATATTTATGTTATTTAAGACCCTTGAATCACACTCCAAATTTAAAGTAACTCTAAAATTTATTCTATTCACTTTCTCTTTTTATTTTATTAAGTTTTGAGTTATGATATCCCTATTCATAATGCCTTATTTTCTATAACATATATTTCTACTGGTATGAAAAAATAATACTTAAATTCACGTTATCAATGATTATTCATTTTTAATTCATACAAAACACTTATTATTTATTAAACTAACATATATTAACCCAATCTTTAAACTTCCAATACAGATAACTTTTGCAGCATATTACGATAATTCAAAATAATTATTTATATAGAACACAAAAAAAAACAAATTTTTATTACCTACAATAAAATATTTTTAAATTTTATTTGAAACAACAGTTTGTTTTTTAATTATAAATTTACAATTATAATAATCATATATTAGTACTAAAATCATTTGAGGTATATAAATTTTAATCTCAAAAAAATTAGTATATAACCATTGATGGTAAAATAAATACCTCATTGTGATACCAAAAGGTTGTACCACACTCTCGTGAGTGTTTAAAACTGAATAATACCTTAAATAGACAAATATTGATACAAATTAAATGAATAGTTTATTAACATTCATATTAGTTCAGTCATAATTACATCAACAATTGAGTTAAGTACAAAATAATTTTTAAAACTATTAATTAAAAAATGTTAGGGGCTTTTAAACATTAATCTATTGAACCATTTACACAAAAGCTATAAATCATAGTATATCTATGGCTCAATTATGATATAGAATATTAAAAATATTAACAACCAGTGTTAAGACGTCAGCCCTATAATAATCATGTTTAAAAAAATACAGGTCAACGCCCTAATTGAAATATTTAATTATTTATAACTTACCCGCAGATGGGAAGGGCACAATACCGAACAGGGCGAAAAACAAGGCGATGACTACGACAAAGTTCAAACACATTTTCGGATAAGTTATGTGTCAGTTGGTAAAATATTATTTGATGGCGCAAAGCCGCCAAGCCTTGTTCGCCGTTGTGATGTCCAGGTCAGCACGGCGAGATTAGGTTGATCCGTAGCCGTTCTGGAGCGGCGGCGGTAGCACGAATTATAACTAACTCTGTAATAGCCGCTATCAGTAAACGCACAATAAACGGACGGAAAACAAGATTATAAAAAAAACTTATACAATATTTAAGTGATAAAATAAAGTAGCAAACAAATAAAAAACAATTTGGTGAAATGTAAAAAGACGTACGCCCGCGCAAGTTACTAATGGGAAACAAAAATAAGGTACGATACTACTAACATAAACGCGGATGTTAGCGCGTGTGAGTAAACGATCTTATGAGTGAGAAGGAGAGGTAAAATAAGAAAAATTTCCTAGTTATCCGAGGAACAGGGCTGACAGAAAATAACTCATAAGGATAGTAGAGACCGCGCGCTCAAATACAGAGGAGACAGAGAGAGAGCGACTACTCAAACAGAAGGGCAAAGACATCCGAACGCCGTAAGTGCAAACGAGATGGCAAGCTGAACGACGGTAGTGGTGGCGCCCAGTCGTATTGATTCGCCTCCGCGCCATCATTGGATGTACAGTTGTACCACGCTAGCATTCATAAAATCCCATATTTGTCTTACGCCAACGCCTTGACTTAAGTTTTTTTTCAAATTTTTCTCTTATATTGTTTGTAAGTTTATAATAAATGAATGTTTATTCATTAAAATTTTTTAAATTTTACTTTACACAAAAAGTATCATTAGCAAAAATTATGTGACAACCCGGCACTTGTGTGTAATGCTTTTATATTATTTAATAATAATATATATTGTATAATAATAATTTAACAAGAGAATGCACGATTGTTTAGAATAGTGAACCATAAGGACCGGTGTTGTTAACGCACCGTATATGCTTAGTCGACCTCACGCTTTTCCGTATATCTATGTATATATTATGTACCAAAATACCAATGTGTATCAAGTATGGGTAGGCGTGAACGTTCTGTTATTTCGCCGTTTCCGGCTAATTGGTTATTGCAATAATAAGCTTTATCAAAAACGCAATTATTCGGTTATTATGTGAATTCTAAAGTTACTACATTTCATTTCAACGTTAATATTAAATTGATAAGAAACTTGGTACTATTAACAAGCTGTCCATGACCTCATGTGTTTACATTTTAACACATGAATGAGTAAAAAAATAGCGTACTTGGTATATAACCATTGAACTAATACGATTTAAACAAAAAGCCTTAGCACAAAATAACCAAGAGGTCATAAATACTGCAACTTTAAATTTTAATCTAGACTACCCAGTACTTAAACAAAATAAAATAAAATTTCGAGAGATTAATCCTACTCAAAAATATAATATATTTATATAAGCATGTAAAATAAAAATGGTCTTTCAAAATGTATGAGAAAATCAGCAAAAATTAAGATTATTTCAAATAAAGCTGAGCTTTAACTTATAATTTAAAGCATCAAATTAGAACCCTTTTGGATCAAAGGTTGTGACAAAATTAATCTTTAAACAAAACATAATGCATATTTAGTGAAAAAACTTTTTTTAGTGGTAGCAAAAAAATCTGTTTGTCAAATTTTGTTAATACAAAGCCAAATACTAAAGCAAATGGTGTTATTATTTGCCTCTGTAAGCTTAATGATTATAACAAAAAGCCGTAGACATTAATTCCTAACTATTAGTTAAAATAAATAACAATTTGTGAAATGTTTGTTTATGCATAACGCCTTTAATGTTGATCAAAATATTTTGAATTTTTTTTTTTTTAAGAATTTTTGTCGCACATGATGGAATATAAAATTTTCATGTTAAATAATGCCTAATTGGTTGTTAAGCTAAAAAACTGTTAACCATTTTCTGTTGTATCGATATTAGTGTTAACCCCTGAAATATAATAAGTAAACACCTTTGTAACTTATATGTGCACAAGAAATAAACTATATAATTGTAATTATTACGGGTTTATTACATACCTTAAAGAAATATTTATGATTAGATTATCAATATCACCATATTTATGTGTCTTGGAAGTGTAACATACTATCAAAAAATATCTCAAATTTAAATAAAAAACTCATATATTTTTTATCTTATAGTAATAGTCTAATTATTATAATCACATATTTTTGTGTTGCACGAGAGATATACGTTTAAGAGTTTAAAAACGCCATATTCTTGAAAATGTGAAAATAGAAATAGTGTTGTTATAATATTACGATAATAATAGTGATAAGATCATTAACAATTAAATGGATCTTAAAAAAACCCAGCACAGGGGGGTCGCAGCACAGTGGTGATATGGCATAGTTGGATCAAGTATGATGATATCTGACAGTGATTAAAATCACTATCAAAAATAAACGCTTCGATGCAAATCTTTAGATAGTGTTTAATTTTAAAAAAATTGGTGTTTTATTCCAAAAGCTACTTGATCTGCTGGTTCCTTATTAATATCTCGATTAAGATAAAGTATGTCGAATGAAAAAGGGTTTATTAAAAAATATTATTTCTCATAAAAAAATTGTGTGGATCCATAAACTTTTCAATAAGTTATAGCATTATAAAGTTAAAT